CATTGTTGTCAAAGCATGCCTTGAGGGTTTGTTGTGCATTGAGGTCATACTATGTGCTTTGGATTTTAATTTTGTGAATCCTTACGCCTTTTTGCAGGATAATTTTTGATCGTTATTTTCTGCATTTCCAGTTTACGCTTTTTGAATTTGTCAGCACATTAAAAGAATTCTAAAACTTTCTTCCGCTCAGTCAACTAGGATTTCACACGAAGAATTAATAAATACAAAACTTGAAAAATACCATAGAAGAGAAAAATGTAATTAAAACTTCCGTCCCATTCCCGAAAAGCAAAAGTCAAATAAGTTTGTCCGAATACCACTTTTATTTCTGACGTTCTAATTTCACAGTTCTCGTCCCCACTTTTTTAAAAGACCTTTTCGACTAGACTCTTAGAGCGATGCTTATATTGCCAGAAATTTGGAACAATATGGCGGAGGCGATTCTCGTGTTACAAGCAAAATAGCGCCCAAACAGTATGAGAAAATATATGGGAAAAGATTGTTTTTTCAAAATAGCTGTCTAAGAATGGGATATTATTTCGCTGCGTAGTTGGAAATATAGCCTGCATCGGTTACAGCGTCCATCGCTTCGAAAAAGAAATACTCTAATTCAAGCCAACCTTTTCCCAAGGCATACGAGTAAACTCACAATTCTGACTCCATTTTCCCATACAAACTCTTCAAATCTGCTTCGACTAGGTGTTACAATTCTTTTGTCGTGGGAATAACCTTGTGAGGATTCGCAACTGCGTAGTTCGATATGTATTCTGCAGAGTTTTTATATGATATGTATTTTTTATACGATATGCATTCAGCAGAAGTTGGCTCAACTAAATCGCTCGTACACGGTTGGTGTGTTGGCCCACAAATTTCCCTTGAGCCGTGAGACTCTTCGTATTTTCACAGAGCTCACACGCCCAAGGCAAGCCATTTTTAAACACCCCAATTTTTGGAAGGAAGAACACGAAAGATAGAAGTCCCTGTAACTACACAATTTTGCCGCTATTCTCCTGGTTCTGACGTTTCCTTTGGCTTTCTGGGATAGTAACGTGCCAGGCCTTTCTCTAGCGGGGTCTTACGAAAATAGAAAGTTACGTGTCCACTTCACTTCCACCGCCGCCATAATAAATTATCTGTAATACGATATACCGCTGACATTTCTTAACGGGCTCGAGACGTCCCCGATTTCTGGAAATGGGCAAATGCTTTGTTAGAAAGTCAGTAAGCATTTCATGAGTTGCAACATAATTCAAAACAGTCGCTCCGTGTGGTACTTGTGGAGTACCAGCAAAGGGAAAGCATGCCTGGTCTGCGTACCCAAAAGTAAATATCAACTAGACAAAAACTTTAATCGCATTTCCTCTATATTTCAAAGTGATCGACACCCTTCTTGATTCCCAAACTACATCTGACATGTATATTTGACTGCTACCGCATAAGAAACAAATACGATTTCGAGTAAAACAGCTGTTGGCCAAGCGGTGACTTTTTTTTACCTAAACCCCCACGTACTTGCCCCAACGGAGCCCATAACATGGAAAGACACCATAGTACTCCTTCTCGAACGAAGCGGTACCGTATATCGATGTGCTTGTTTCCAGCATAACTCATGACTCTTTGTCATAGCAGAAGCACCCTGGTTGTTTTTTTATTAACTATATTTGGCCCCTCCAGAGCTACTCGCACATCTGTAAGTAACCATCGAAGTTAAAATAATCTTTTAATCGCTGTACTACTGGTCACCTACTCTCATTCGGCTGTTGACAGCGCTACTGTGGGATAAAAAGAAAAAGTGCACGTGCACATCCTGTTAGTAGTGTGGTCTCTATTCTAGAGGCCTTAGCTGAAGGTAAAGACAGAGGTACAGGACGAACAGACTGCTTTGCTGACAGAAGAGGACCACCAAACAAAATTATTCGCATTGCAATTAGAATCCAAAACTACCCACTTTATTTGAAAGTCAATAACGATAACAATGAAATAAAAATTCTAGAATTATAGCCGCATTTGATCGGGTCCTGTCNCCATTGAGACCCCGTGACAATGGTTATAGAAAGAGAAACTTTCTTGATTTGCAAGTGTTCTTCCTTTTTATTCTTCAGTTCTTATTAATTGCAATCTTATTAGAAAGGCAGAGCAAGTTATTTCATTCTTTGTACATCTGGATGGCAGAGACAAACCTCCGCTAAAGTATGTTTAAAAAAAGAAAAGCGATAGGTAGTTTTCTCTTGTGGTCATTGTCACAATGGCTTTCCGTATCTCTACAATGTTAAGTGATTAAGAGAAGCCGCCAGAATATTTCGAGAATCGAAAATCAGTGACGAAAACTCGAATTTTTTTTTTATTTTGCCACAACATCCCTTTCTGTGAACTAGTTTCGAAAAAAATATTTAAAGGTCCAGCGATTTTTTTCCGGCTGAAAGTTTAAAAAGTTTGAAAATTCGTTAAAAAAGCCGTTTCGCCTTGCCTAAATGGTCAAATCGTCACGCAACTTTAGGAAGATGTTGGCAGCGCTAATAAAAAAAATAAATGACCATTGGAAGTACTCAGCATCAATATGTTTCTTCTGTGAAGCTGTGAATGTTAAGTAAAGTCGCTTTTAATCTTTCTCAATCACGCTTTAAGTGCCAGCATGCGTCTTAACGCGACTGAAGCGGTTTACAAACTTAAAAACATTCCGGAACATTTGGAAACATCGCTTCTTATACTTGAAGAAATGATCTGTTGAGTTTATACCACGTATCGAAAAATACATTTTAACGTATTCTTAAAACTTAAACTTACTAAAAGAGAAGTATGTTAGGTTTGGTGACATATATGACTACCAAAAACGTAGATAAAATTTGAAAATTCTCGTAGGTTCATCCTTAGCGTGAGCATTTTTCGTACGTGACCTACACCCTGACCCAATTTGGGTAACCAATAAATTTGACCACTTAGGCTAAGCCTTTTTCAGCTTTTTGCTCACTTCTTCAAACTCTTATTAAAAATATTTTTGTGCCACACTGAAAATCCGCAAGGGAAAGTGCACTGGAAATACGACTGAGAATTTCCCTGGGAAAGGCGTTAGAGATGGGCCGAAAGTGGTCAAATTTAACAGCTGCCAAAACACAGTTGCATATAGTTTTAGAAAAGCAAACTTAAACATGACCGAACGTGCGAATGACTAGCACCTTACGGCACTGTAAAAGCAAGTAAATACCCGTTTTAGTGTAAAAAAATACGTGGCCTTTGCCGACGCCGTACAACATGTACAACTTAGATAGCCATGAAGTTATTTTTCAGATAGGTATTTAACATTCTTTGTTCTCTTCAACAGAATAAGATTTATCTTGCTTTTATTCAAAATAACATTAATGTTGAACAGTTACAGCAACTGTTTTATTAAGCTGGTAGAACTGTGGCTCAACCCCGGTTGCCCTTTTTCAGGCTGGTGAAGACACAGGCGGCTCAGGCTCTGTCACAGGCTCTTTCACAGTGGATTATTATAGAGTTTGTAAAGTGGTTTATCTGGACTTGCTTTTGAGCTCCGTAAAAATAAAGTTGTGGGAAATAGTAAAAGAAATAAAGTCTTACTTTTATACGGAGTAGTCTGTGCTGTTCTTGTCGCGATTTGAGGCCGTTTTGATGTGTTTCAGCTCAACGTCCTAGCACTACCAAGTAAAAGGGGAGGTAGAAAACCTCTGTCTCACACACGCTCGCCAAAATCGCTGAAAAAAACACACTTAAATACTTCCCCTTGCATCGAAACTTGACAGCACGAAAACAAAATAGTTGCCCTTCAAGTTTATCAAAACAAATCCCACAAAAGTTGAGTTGTCGAGCTACCAGCCCAGGGAAAATCTCAAATTGACCGCCATTTCGACGCCGCTAGAATGCACGTCCATCAAAACCTGTGCAGTCAAAAGTTCGTTACGACGCGATCAGCCTGGACAATAACAAAATTAGGCCCAACGGGTAGCCCCACGATATGAATGATT